TTAGCCATCCTTGTAGTGATCTCGTCCTTGTCATAGACGTGACTTAGGTATCATTAATTATTTTGTTCAAAACGTCGTCGTTTTTGATAAGTATAATATAAATATCCATACTGATGTTTGTTTGCATCGATTAGGCTCGGAAACTATTCATACGAGAGTGACATAGACTATAAATTACGCGAGTTAAAGTCTCGAGAAAACAGATAGTCTACGTTAAAAGTATCATGAAGCCTCAATTATATTCATTGTTTAGATATTCAATACTAAAGAGGTTCGAATATATTACTATAGTGTGTTTCCTATACGTATTTGGTAGATATATATCACCAGTTTCTTCTTTTTTATAAAAAAAATTGCGTTATACAAATGCTTTGGTTTAATCATTATTAAATAAGATTTAAGAATAAAATACACAAAATATTTTATAATCTGTGACAACAAAGAAACATTTCCCATTTATAAAAAGACGTTTCAAAGTTTTTGGAATCAGTATTCTTATATAAAATTGTTCATTTTTATACAATATGTTTGAAAATTATCCCACAACGGCGATAAGGGGATATATACAATAACATATGGCTTTCGTTTGCGTGTGAAACTACTATAACTACAACGAAAACTGGGGGGCAAAATAGTGTCGTTTAAATGTCGGTAGAGGGTGCTTTTGAACGATATCTTTTTGATACTGATAGTATCAGTTGTAAAGATAAACTAAATTCCTAAACTCACAAATGAAGGTTCTAAGTTACTTCTGGGACGACTCGGTGTTCTTCAGATCGACTCTAAGGTTCTATTAATAAAATGCATTAACAATAGTGTATTGACAACCTTCTTGTCCGGTGGCTTACACACTGGCGGTGGCGCCATGTATTAGGTCCCAGGTTCGTCTCAGTCGGGTTAATATAAAAAATGTTTTTTGGATAAATATAGATCATAATAATATCATTTTGTGGCTTTAGGATTAAATACTTTTTCATCTACAAATGGATTCTTTATTTTGATCACTTCCGGCGTGGCTAGGGGGGTTAGTTGAGTCCGGTCCGCTTTAGAATATTAATTGTCCACATACACTATTAATCATGTATAATAGCGACATAGCTAGGAGGGTGCTTAATGGCTCCGGTGATTTCTGTTCCTTGATTTTATTGACCAATGAAATAAGTCAACAGACGAGTGTAGCGGAGCCACAATGTTGTGCTTTAACTACTTAATTTGGAATCTTAAACTTTATTGATATTTTAAACTTTCCCTGGACTACAACAGACATTTCAGAACCAAAATCAACTAAATAGGCTCAGCTATTTTCATGTTTTAGTGAAACAAACGAACACCAATTGATTTTAATCATAGTTGGATTAAGTTTTTACGATAAAAAGTCAGTAAGCTTAGGTCATAGTTATACGGCGCTTTGTCGCTTTTCAGTCTCGATTACCTACACACAAACACAAAGCATGAATATTTTATATTATTTAATTAGAATTTTGTTTTTGAAATAAATAAACATCGACTCTACTTTGTGACGTGAAAGAAAAACAAATAAACAAACATGGATTATATTTTATATAAAACTAGTTGATTTCACCTAGATAATTTATAGCTGACACCCACGTTAGGTTCATTATCTTTTTATGTGTATGATCGGACTAGTATTCCCTACAAACAAACTTAGAAATTTTATCTCTTGCAATAATATTATTACTATTAGGATATATTGTATATGGAATTAAATTGGATTGAAATAAAAAAGGGAAATTACGGATTTGTAGCTACATACGTCAAACGACGAGCTCCTAGATTGACATAATCAAATCGTAAAAAGTGCCGATAGCGTCATATATGTTTGCGCCCGGGCTCCCTAATAAAGACCCGGGTCAGGGTCGGCCGGGACCTTATTTATCAGCCGGTCGGAATCTTTCACAGTATTATTTGATCCGACCTTGTTCGGACCTGGCATAATTAATTAATGTTATTTGGAATTCGTTAAGGTTTTTGCTTGGTTATTTATTTAACAAAACAGATGCTGATAGATAAGATAAGATAAGATCTTTATTTGCTAGAATACACTTAAAAGGTCACAAAAATAAATAAAGAGATACAGTATTCTACCTGAGAACAGGCGTGCAAATATTCTAATCATGCAATTTTCTTAAAAGCCAAAAATTCCTTCACACTATAGAAGCTGTGTTCCATAAGCCACTTTGTCAATTTTGATTTAAATTCATTAATATTCAAAAATTTCATGTCATTTGGTAAACTATTGTATATAATTATGCACATGTTGTATACATTATTTTTATAAATGTCCTTATGACAAGGAGGGTGGTGCAATAAATTTATATATTTTTGTCTAGTTTGCCGGGGCATAACTTCAACGCGTTTAGTCCAATATTTGGAGTTGGAGTGAACAAATAAACATACATCTTTTATATACATACAGGGTAGAGGCAAATAACAGGGTAGAGATATAAAACAAAGTTTAGGTTTATTCAAATTCTTCTCCTTCTTTTATGAATGGTTTATCTGATTTATTCTACATTGAATTTTATGTTCTTGACTTGGATCCGTTTGGACCATAGTGGATCATAGACTGTATTTATGTGCTTTACCAGATTCTCGTCTTAGAGCATTTTAATTGCACGTGGCAGAATGAAGACAAGTTGACATGGCTTTTTATAAAGAAGAATATAAAATGTAAAATTGAAAAGCATATAACTTCCATTTCCTCAGCAAAAATTAGGATCAAATACAGCTCAATTGTCCTAAATACCCCTCTTCCTTATTCATACAAGTCATTCCCTAATATATTCCCAAACCCACAAATTTTAAAACTGTCTTAAGAATTTTATTTATTTATTATCAACAACATTTACATCGATCATTACAGCTTATAGCCAATGCGATCTAGAAAACCTTTATAATTTTTCTTATCTTAACTGACGACCTTACTTTTTTATATATAAAATAAGCTTTATATAATACATATTGTTCTTAATTAATTTTACATGTAAAAAAAAATATTGCAGTTTTTTGTAAACTCACTCAGAGCACAATAAAATATGTCAATTTCATTAGCTATCATATTAATGGTAGATATAGCGCGCGTGAACGGTGCCTCCTTTAACAAGTTTGTGCGTGCGGATGGAGCCATCAGATGTGGCACCTGCCTCCTGCGCCATATATACCGGTCTGTTACCCTGAGACATACCCAACCAAGTATATCCGCGTTATGTATCTTCCCTCTGAGTACTTTAAATATATATGATACTAAAGCGACATTCCTCCTAACCGTGAGTTCGTTATATCCTGTCATTCCTAACACAAACAAAGTAGGGTAGTTCAAAGGATAAATAAAACGGATATACGCCATATAGCTTCATGTATAAATAACTAGCAAATTTATTTTGGACTCGTTCTAACATGAGAGTATATTTCTTTTCATAAGGCGCCCATACTATTGCGTTGTGCTCAAGCTGACTCCTAACCAAGGCGTTATATAACGAAATGACTGCTTTCATGTTTGTAAAACCTCGTGCGAAACATAAGACCAAACCCAAGGACCGGCTGAAGTTTTAGACTTTAGTCGTTGAAGCGCTTTCTGTACAAGATATGTTAACTGTTTCGTAAAGTAAAGTAATAACATATGTCTTTGATTTGTCTATTGTAGAATTTTCTAACATTGGTTATACTTGTGTAAGTCCCTTTCAGGTAGATAAAATTTTATTTCAATAAAATTCAAAATTTTACTTTGACTTTCACTACCATCATACAAAAAGCAGAGTTTATAAAATACTAAGATATGAAATAAACTATGCAAAACACTGGATTCTGGCGAAAAGGGAAACGCCTTTAATTAAAAAGAAGAAGATGATGATTTCTTTATTTTAAAAACTACAGTGAATATAATATAATATAATAGAAATATAATATAATAATAGAATATAATATAATATTTATCTTTGAATTGATAAAATTTTCTTATAATTAAAGTTTTAAGTTGAATATCAAAATCTTAATTACAGAAAGTTTCAGAAATATATCACAAGCAGCAAAAAAATTAAATAAAAAAGTTTGATTCTCAAATGAAGTGGCGACCTTCTTTAATATAATTTTATCAAACTCTAACATGCATTCATCCATTATTTTTCGTCGAAAAAGTATGAATTTTTTATAGAAAAAAATATTTTAAAATTTTTCGCTTACTTGCTTCCTAAGAGACCTAAAACTATTAATTTCCTGAAGCGCTTAGGAAAGCTAGCCAAATCATGTTGTCTAAAAAATGTTTAATTACAATAATTACTTTATAAATGAATTTCTCTATATGGTCTCTGCTTTGGATGTTGTGGTACCTCCGATATTATGAAAATACGAGAACTTTGGCTACTCATCTTGTAATCAGATTATATGTTATGTTCTATTATACTTATTCAACTGGAGGCCAAAAAGGCCTACTGGTAGCAGCGGTGCGTAAAAACCTTCTAGCGTTAGCTAAATATAGCTGTTGTATTATTTTATTTATTTATTTATTAAATTTTATTGACCAGTAATAAAAAAAAAGGTACAAAAGGCGGACTATTTCAGAGCTAAGTTTCACACCAACTTCTGAGATATGTGTACTTTTTTATATTAATAATTTTAAACTATTAAAATGCACCTTTGATATGTGTTATGATTTTTCGTACTGTACTTTGCTCCGCCGCCGTCATGTAATTTAACATGCTGAAGTATCAAGCTTATAAAGCTCTTGGACATTTATTTACGTCCTATTAGACTAAAAGAAACCATTTTTTCGATAAAGTATGATGTGACTGAAGTAGAACGTAGCACTGTCTCTTATGTACAGATAATTTTTATGGATATAATTTTGACTTGATAATTTTTAATAAGCGATTTGAAATTTTCCGTATTTCCATCGGTGGAGAGAGTAGGCTCTCGATAAAAATGTATCTATAGATACGCTAAGTGTACGGACGCTTATCAACATGTCAACATTTTCAGGCACGATGCGCTTCGTGAGGATAACCCCGGAAATGACCGAAATGGTGATTCAGCACCTGAGGGACAGTTTCTTTGCTGACGAGCCGCTCAACAAGTCGGTGCAGCTCTGCGAGCGGGGAAACCCCCACCCGGCACTCGAGCAAATGTGCAAGGCTACCATTGCCGATGGACTGTCGTTAGCGGCTATGGAAGATAAAGATGTAAGTACAGTCGACACCACTGAAGATACTTGACTACAGAACTCTATTAAACTACAGTGTTATTTTTAAAATGCTGCCACAGCATTAGACGTTCATTTAACCAAATAAAATCTTCTTCAAAACGTAATATATGTTTTATTTCATTGCATTTAATCACCAGTCCCAGGCATCTCTGAAATGAGATTCGAACACACAACCTCGCAAAACGGGCGACTGCTCTTTACATTTTTTCATCAATGTTCAGGCAATCCACCCATTATAAGATAAATATTTTTACAAATATTAAACTTTCGATTGAGATGATTTGTTATAATTATTATTTGTAGTCAATTTTGATCGAAAACACTGTGTTTCACGCTGATTTTTACAGAGTACTAAACCAGGTCTTGAACCAGCAACCTCCCGCCGTTCTTGTTTTTTAAGATAAATATTAAGATAGTATTAAGTATAAATACTAAAATAGCAATAACCCTTTATGATATCCAAATCTCTTTATGTAGGTTTAACTAACGTGATGAGTCTATTAAGTTCGCACTTTGATCAGTATTACTAAGCTAACCAAGCTAGCGTGCAACTGTTTTGTTAGTTACAAAATAATGTTAAACGCAGCCTACTGCACGAAAGAACTAAGTAGAAAAGTTAGTGCCGTTTCGAACGTGTTAAAAAACACCCATACGTTTTTCGTTACCGTAGCAAGGCTTTTAAAGTTACTTTGTGGGGTGAATTTGTAGGGAGCATTTTCGGCAGACTAGCAGCAGTTTACAAACATAGCCCTATACCTCCGAAACTACTAATCCCAGACATGCTTTTACTTTTAAATTATTTCACAGATATTAATGGACCTATTATTTCTGAAATAAAAAAGTAATAACTAGTATATTACAAAAATAACAATTGAATAAAACATAATTTCAGATCCTTGGCGTTTCACTGAATGGTATATTAAAACCGGGAGACGTCGAGGAGGCCCTCGAGAAGATCAAACAATCCAAGGACGAGAAGTTCAACAAAATATTCACCATATTGTACACGCTTAATAAAGACCTGGATATCTTCAAGAAACTCCAGGTGGATCGCATCATGGAATGCAGAATCATATCGACGTCGGACCGAGCCAGGAGTAAGGGCTTGGGCAAACAGATGATGAAAGAAAGCATCGAGATATGTAAAAAAGAAAATTTTAAGGTAAAAATTGGTTATAAAAGTCTAAGGAGACGTTAAAGTGATTTACAGGCTTCTGTTATATGATCGGAAAATATAAACTTTTTTAACTTATAAATATTTAAAAAAAAATTTTTTTACATTAATTTGAAAAATATTACTCTTTGAAAACTTGAAAAATGTAGGGGAAATCTATTGCGAAAATTTGCTAAAATACATACTGCAATATTAGTTACATAAAACGTAACAACTTTCATTAAAAGAACTATAAACATAAACGCCCACATAACAAAGATATTACAAATATCGCCCCGACGCTCTTAAGTTTTGCATTACCGAAGCAAGGCATGAATTTGTAGCATATTGTATTTCGTCTTAATCGAATTCGAAACGTATGGAAAATCAATTATTCTCAATTAATCAATTATTTTGTAACCAACATAATATTAGCATTCTATGCAAACCATCAACAAAAATGAGAATGTCACTAGCTCTTTTCCCTCGTCTTCACCCGCGTAAATTATAGCCTACATAGATACTACAGCAAAATTCGATGACGAATGTTTACTAAAAAAGCGTTGCTTAGCAACCAGTGACAGGAAGATATTAATAACCTTTCTAAATTAGACAACGTATATTGAAATATACGAATACTTCATAAACTTGCTATTTATAAATAATGTTATCAATTCATAATGCTATAAATAAAAACAGTTGAAAGGAACACGAATTTTCACATGGGGTCAGCTTACATGATCAAGTAATCAATCTAAAGGAAAATGTTGTATAATAATTAACCACTTTATTTGGAAAGTTTGAAACTGCAAACATGTTTGTGATATCTGAAATAAGTTATAGGGCTGTCGACCCAAAATAACTTCAGCTTTATTACTATTTTCCCTTTTTTTTAGGCAAAATATTGAAGTTTTCTGGTAATTTATGGTAGCAATAAAAATATTACTTATAAAATTACGAAGCAATATAATGGTGAGAAGAACGAGTTTTATATATTTTTTTAACATCTAAGTTAGAAAAATATATAAAAATTTTCTTTGTTTACATTTATTCTTCATAGAATTTGGCTGGAGTATAAATCACACGCGTATGGTGTAAAATTATTAAAATTGGTGTAGTAGTTTCAAAGAACCAACAAACAATTAAATCTTTTCTCTTTATTTTAAGGCCTTCTGAAAAAATCAAATAAGATAGGTATAAAAATTGAATAGCTAATGAGAACTTAATTGGTTTCGTATCGTACCGATCTCTCGTGTGTCCTAACGTCTGTCCGTCTGTCCGACACAGCTGATTTACTCCTTAGCTGCTGGGGAAATTGTGTTATTTGCTTAACATATGTAGGTTGGTCACTTAAGAATGCGGGGCTCCCCATCCTCCAGGACACAGCCCTAAGGTCACAATGACCAAATCTAACATAAATTCCATATAACCTCGGCCTCTTTTAACGAGATGTGAAGAGAGTTTTGTAGAGGTTTCGACTTCTTGCAGCATCTAGTATGATTAGACTACAATAGCATTTTCTATCAAACGCATTGCAGTCATAAAAAAGGAAATGTTTGATATATCAAATGAATGGGCTTATTATGAGAACGTCAAATGTATATTTCTTAATTTCAAACTAAATAGTATAGAAAAGAAATTTTGAACATAGATAAAAATTGATCGTTTTCCCTAATCTTTGAAACTACATAGCATAAAATTCTAAAAAGGCGACGAACGTGGAGTAGTCAAAGTGACTTATTTAAACGCATGTCACATTATAAAACAACGAAATGGATTCAAAAAATAGTTCTTATTTTGTAAAACTATTAGAAGTCTGTGATTTTAAAAATATATTACTTATTCTATGAACTGAATTTGGTAGCTTTTAGAATGGTACAATAACAAGTTTACTTTTAAATTCATTTCAGATATTCAAAGCGGACGCAACCGGTGCATTCTCGCAGAGGATCTGCAGACAGTTCGGTATGAAGGTGATCGGTAGGATCCGGTACGATGAGTACCTGGACAACAGCGGGGAACCTGTGTTCAACGTGGAAGAGCCGCATGTAGAGTTGGCGATTATGATACTGGATTTACGTTGAACTCACCAAAATAATAGCGTAAACTTATTAGCCACTGTTGCGTACTTTAATGATGATGTTTGTTGACTGCTGCCCTTCGAGTACCTACAATATTCGGTAAAACAGACAAAGAATCTGCGACTGTTGAGGAAGTTAGCGGTAGCACACAAAAGTTACAGAGTAGATCACCCAAAGAGAGTAAGTACTTCTTCGAACTGTAGTAAGGGAATCTTAAGGAATATACGGAGAACGTAATATACCCATAACAAGTGACCATTTTTTTCAAAAATACTTACTGATAAGTCGTATGTTGTCAAGATTTTCGTTAGTGATTTTATTCCATTTTTAGACAATTCATAAAATGAAGATTTGTTTTATTAAAGGCGCTTGCCGCATGAGAACAAGAAAGCAAGCTTTTATCTACAAAAACAAGTCGAAAATTTTATTAAAGTAAAACAAAATTGTATAACGGCTCCAGGTTTGATTTTTGAGCCAGAGCATTAAGTTATTTGTGAAGTATACGTACGTTACAACGACAAAACGCTTTAATTCGAAAATAGCTCTATAAAAGTGCGAGTCACAACCATATCTGAATGGATCACGTGGTATGGATGCATTGCCTAGTCCAATGGTGTCAGTCCACCAACTTCCTCGATTGTACTAAGCATTGAAAAAAATTTAGTTGTCATTATTTCAGTAGGAACTTTACCATGATCTCTTTAATGATATAGAAACACCTTTGTTAGAATGGACAAAACTACTTTTAACAGCATCGAGCTTTGATCATTGAAATTATCTCGTGAACTCGCTGCAAAAGTTGAGATTTTATAATCATTTCCTTAGATGCAATCATCACATTATGTCAGCTTATATAAAACAATCTGAAACGATTCATTTCTAAATAGAGTAAAAATAAAAATTTACATGATGTGATAGCCTGGTATGCTGCTGTGTAGTTGCCGTTATAATCCATAAAGATTCATTTCACCGACAAAGTATTAATCTTATTGGTAATATCGATGGTCTTGATGGTCCAAAATTCTTGTTATTTCGCTTAGAAATTAATTATTATTTTATAACTTATTTATTACACATCATAATTCTAATAAACCTTAGATTGAAGTTATGACTACTTTATTAAAAAATAGACTAAGATATTCATTTTTTTTTTATTTGTGCAGGCAATTTTGTTCTCCGAATAAACAGATACATAATAATTACATTAATTATTTTGGTATTAAAATATTAGCACACTTGCTTTAAGTAAAATTTTGTTAATATCTTCAATAATTTTTTGCACAAAATTTTCCTTCTTCCTTTAACAGATTGAACAAATAAAGACAATGTTTTATTAAAGAATAAAATGAGACTAAATGAGACAAAGCTGCAATAAAATTATGATGTTTTCAATGCCCGAATTCTTTTACAAATAATAAAGTAATAGTTTTATTTTCGTTACAAAATATTTATTTACTAGAGATGCGCCGAATATTAGTATCCGGTATTCGGCGTATTCGGCATCTTTTTACTTTTTTTATTTGGCCGAATTATTCGGTTTTATTGCCGAATATATTCGGCTCGAGTATTTCTATTACTTGGCTATACGATACGGTATAGAACTAAAAGGCAAAACTTATAATGAAAATTTTATGTTACAAGTCAAAGAAATCCTACAAAGAATGTATTGAAATAAAGTTATTATATTTTAAATCATAAATATTTATTTTATAAACAATAGTCTACATTTATTTTAAATCAACACTTTATTTTTAAAACCTCAATCAAATTAATGTTTTTTTAGAACCGTTATTTTTAAAACTTCAACTTTTAATGAACACACTTAAGAGGCTTTTACAATAAAAGACACTATAGCAGAAATATATGAACTCTGGCGGAATAAAAACAATAAAATGGTAAACCTATATTCAGCCGAATATCTGGTTCGGTAAATCTTTACCACTTACTACTCAAACCGAATACTACTCGGTATTCCGTTATTTGCTGAAACCTCTATTCAGCGCATCTCTAGTATCTACTGTGTCTGGTACCGGAGACAGCTTGAGTGTATGACTTTGCGCTAATCGGAACTTATGTGATTTATTTACATTCATAGAATTGAGGATACAGTAACATTAAGCAATTTTGAAAACTATTCAGATTTTGTTCGTGTTATTGCTATTCAGAAGCAAACCAGACTTCCAAAATATCCATCTATTAATTTTAAACGGTTTCATCACGTGGGTGTTTAGTTTTATTGACGTTTCGGACCCTTTACAGGTTCCGTGTTCGCATAAGACTAAGGTGTTGATTGTATTTTTAATTGAGAGTATAGCTATCTTCCACACAATTCTATTGGACATATTCACAATACGATTTTTTTTTACTATTATATGGAAACATTAACATTTATTAAATTAATTTATTTTAAAAATACATTTGACTTATTTATTTACCCCTAAGTCAAATGTATTTTTGACTTACGGGTAAATAAAGGCGTAAATAAATGACCAACAGCTTAGTCTTATGTGAACACGGAACCTGTAAAGGGTCCATAACGTCAATAAAACTAAATACAAACGCGATCAAACCGTTTAAAAGTTGTTTCATTTATGCATTGTGCGCGTGAAAATATAAGAAATCAATCTATCTATGACCTTAAAAGGTAGGCAGATACAACCGAACACCACAAAACACAATTTCTATACAAGTTTTTCGCTTCCAAGACGCTTCAAGCGTCCGAACTATCTAAATTAAGATATTATTAAAATATTATTTATTTGAATATTTTACACAAAATCGATATATTTTAAGTCAAGCTAATGGATTGTATTCATAAAGAGAAATAAGGAATAACACTTGCAGATGCCTATTCAAATAATATCAAGGATATATTAAACCCAAATTTTAAGTATAGGGTAGACTAGAAAAAACGAAAATTTTGATAGAGATTTACAGAAGGACAATTTTCTTTATGAATATAAGCGATTGTTTTATTTTATGATAAATTTATTGTATTAAATGTCTTCAAATTTATACAAGTTCTTGTCTATTTTTGTAGTTCTAATGAAACTTTATGACAAACATTGTTTATTATTGTATAATATAAATACAATACTCCACTTTGTATGTTTTTAATGAGTAGTATCGAATAATGAATCCATTACTAATCTTGTTAATGTTGTCAGTGTTTCTAAAACGTTTGTTGCCCTGTTTATGTATACAAAGTAGGTTAGATTGTATTCCGTCGGTATAAAGCTGGGTTTACATTTGCTTTGTTCGGTCTTTTTTAGTATACTATTTCGAAATACATAAAAATGAGGAAGCATTTTAAGAAAAAAAAAGAAATCATTAAAAGAGTACCTCACTAGATGGCGACTCTACCAAAAGTTAACTTTTGCAGGAAACGAATGGACCAAAGATGGTCATTTCCTTTCCTTTTAACTAACATATTAAAAAACTGAATTTTGAAAAGTTGGAAATTAAGATATCAATACTAATATGAAAAAGAACGAATAGAATATGAGTTGTTTATTGACTTTTGAAAATTAATTTACTTTTATACACGAAAGAAACCCGGAATGGTTGTCATGGAGAAATCAAGAAAGTGCCGTAGCGACATCTAGTTTGATTTCGAGAACAAATTTTTTTTTTAAACTTCCTCATTGATCTGGGCTAAAATTGAAACAGCTTGCAATGTGAGCGGTTCTATGTTATTTATATTTGCGAGATTTGATATGATTGTGATAAATAAATATAGTATAGCGAATGTTGTCTTGATTGTGTTGATTTATAACATATATTTAAATTAGAGTATACCTATTAATTTTGAGTATGCCATAAAGATCGCTAAATAACACGGAATTATAGCAAATCTGAACTCGGCTTTACTGTACACCATAGTATTATACAAGTATTTATACTATATACATACATGTACCTTATTAAATATAAATGTGATTTTGTAGAATATTTACAAAATGTAGACTCTATATCGCAAAGTAATGTTTACATATGACTAGGGTTTTAAGGCTGTATCCCGTCGGGTTGGTGATCCGATTTTAAACCTAGTACCTCGCCTATAAACAGTTAACGTCTTAAACTTGATTATATGTAGCCCGCCTTGGCTTACCTCACGCGTGTCGGTTTTGTATATTCAGTATGGGCCTGCCCTGCGATTCTGAAAAAATCCAGACCCGACTTCGAATTCACGTCATTTACTGAAAAGATTCTACTGATTCCAATTTAAGTATAAAAATATAAAACAAAATAGATTGATTATACGTATCTCAGATATTTTATTCCTATGTCATTTCGAAACTCACTTCACTTATGCTTCGAAACGTTATTGCCAATTCAAGATTGAGCGGATGCCGCTTTTTGAAATGATTACGGGCACCTGAATGAATTTGAATTAGGGTTTGGATTTTACATAATCGCAGGGCTGGACGCTTAGTGTAAGTTTTTAGACGTTTATGTTCACCGTCGTTCGTAAGCGCGTTAAGATTTAGTACGGAACAGCGGTACGGTACAGAGACCCTGGTGGTATCTACCAAGAACTATAAATCTCCATACGCGCTCACTAGTGAAAGCGTTAGCGTAAAACTTACATTTACCACTCGTATTACATTTCATTTCAATCGAACAAATGTATGAAACTGAGTAACAACGTGCGTTTGACACCGCGCGCAGTGGGCCAATGGATTTAAATCTTTTGACAGTTAAATTCCAAATTTATTGCAGGAATTTCAACTCTTGTAAGTTGATGCGTATTATAATTATAAAGAACATGTTTCTAACGGTTTTCATAGTATTAAAACCTACCGATTTTTTTCACTAGTCATGAAATACATAATTTAATTTTTGATTAGACGTTTTAACCGAATACAAAATTTAGTAGGATTTAAACTATAAAGGTATTAGAAATATGCTATTTATAACAATGCGCAGTGGACTCAGAATTAAAGGAAAATCAAATATCATCATATTGGCATTTGTTTATTTGTTTTAGGGGTGTATTAACT